TGATTTATCCTGTTTTCTCTTTATCTGACAGAATGTCAAATCCACTATGGAGCGGTAAGTTTCATCTTGTATACTATTAAAGCACAGCTGGATAATAGTCAGCATTTGAAAGTGTCAACTTCACCGTTACAGAAGCAGGGTGATAGATGCGTCCAATAATTGTAAAATATTTGATTGGTAATCTGTGGCTGCTTAATGTTTTTTCAGATCCCAAAGTAACTTGCGACAACCAGAGACTCCATCAGGAGCTCTGATCGATGAGGCCAAACACCTTGGGAACCTGCTGTTCACAGTCTGGGAGAAAATGAAAAATATAATCCAATACAGTATGTACAGAAACCACTGATCACCACAGCACAGCTGTTCTACACTGTAATGCCTTCAGTACAAGCTTTACCTTAATAAACATCTTAATAAACTTTCCATTTTGTTTCTTGTTTTTTTTTTTCTCTCTGAAGCTCCTGTAACTCTGGACCCCAACACTAGTGGCTCGCACTTGACTCTATCAGAACAGATGACCCGTTCAACAAGCAACAACTTTTGGCCGGAGCCTGGAAACCTGGAAAGCATGCGTAGCTCAGCCATTCTCGGCTCTGAAGGCTTTAACTCTGGAAAACACAGCTGGGATGTGGAGGTAGGGGGTTTTGGGGCTGTTGGTCTGGCTACTAGAATCAAGGATCAAATCTATGGAAAGATCTGGAGCATCTACATATGTCCTTGCTTTGTCTTTCTGTATGAACGTACTCCAGACAATTATAAGGAAGTTGAATATAAACATCCATTTCCCTGTAAGGTCAGAGTGCAGCTAGATTATGACCAAGGAATACTATCATTTATAGACCTTGATAGTAAAACACTTGTACACACCATCAAATACACTTTCACAGAAACAGTCTTTCCGTATTTTTGTGACCAAATAAAAATCCTTCCAGCTGAATTGTTAGTGGGGACAAGACAACCCAGATAAACATCCTGCATTGCTGCAGTGGTCCAACAACAAGATGAAGCCTTGAAACCTTAAAGATTAGCAAATCCTGGACTTATTGTCACATTACATATGTCAGTTTTCTTTTTGTTTTACATGAGTTTGTTTAATAATTATAAGTTTCATCCTATGATGTACTGTAGATATATAAAGTGTAAGAATTTGACTTCATGTTCAGCTGAGGCAAATGTGTGATTACTGTATGGGTTATATTTATAAAAATGAAAACTTATATCAAGTCAAATGTATCTTCAGTGTGTATCATGTTTCATACATAAATGTATCATCTTAGAGAGCTCTTGTTTTTTTTCAGGTACATGACAGCTTAACTGTTGTATAATGAAGGAAATAATCAAAGTTATCTGATGTTATGTTATCTATGTGGGCCATTGTGCAATTATCATGCACATAGTCAAGGGTTTCTGCAATAATATGGCTTCTCTGATGACTGTCTTTGTGAATGTGGTTGAGAAAGAAAACTGTAAGCAAGCCAAAAACAATTCAAATGAACACAAATGCAACTCTCAGCCTGTCTGAGATTTGTATTAATCATGTAAAGTAATGTCACAGGGAGAAAGTATTGTTTCAAACTTTCTATGTTGTGTTTTAATTGTGCTTTTTTATTGCATGTTTTATACATCGATTGCACGTGTTTTACATTGTGTTGATTTTTATGTTGATTGATTTTATTTCATGCTTTTAAGTTGAAAAAGTTTTTGTTTTTTAAATGTACTTCCTGCCTGACACTTGGACTGATTACTTTTCTAACCTGCACCTGGTCAGCTCTGACTTTTGATAGCACTTCTCAGCTTAATGTTCCTCCCTTACAGAAATGTGCTCTACAAAGGTGCTATCTGGTCTTTGTCTTTTGGTTCCAAAACTATTCTTCTCACACCTTATGTAAATGACAGGTGAAAAATACATTGATCTTTACAAGCTTTGGTTGGATTATTTGGTCTGAATTAATTTTACAGTCTTTTTTTTACTCATCACATAAGAACATTTTACCAAAACCACTAAAACAAAAGCAATCAGATTAGCAGGATAGTTTTGTAAAAAGTTTAAATTACTGCCCAAATATACAGCACAATTCCTTCCGATTTACAATGTAAATGTTGTAGTTACAGTGCACCAGTCCAGTATGTACCTATAAATAGATTTAGGAACAAGACTAAGGGGGAAATGTCGGAACTTATACTAGAATTCATACCTATTCTATAATTTCAGGGTACATTATGATCATAGTTTAGCATTAAGCTGGAGGTTTGGGGGAAGATGGGGTAATTAGTTCTGTAACATTTTAAAAATCTGCTTTGATTTATTTCAAAATAATACTAAATACCTACACTGGAGGGTACAGGTAATAACAAAGAGGATAGGCAAACTAGATAGTTTCAAAATAACTACAGTGGGAATTTATGTTTTTACTTTGGAACAAACAGAGGTCCAAGGAAAAGAGTACTGTATTGTCAAGAACATACTGTAGACCGATGAGTTACTGTGTATATTGTAAAGTAGGCTACTTACAGTATAGGGTACAACATTGCAGTTCAGTAGCTGGGACTTCAGCAGCTTGAGGTGGTTAATGTGGATTAACACTGATGTTACACAGAGGGCTGTTCATTGTTGTTATGGAGTACAGGATGAGGCTTCTGCAGTAAGATACAGCTGAAGTTAAAAACAGTGTCCATACAGACAAGGCAGCTGTAAAAGATAACTGATCATTAGTCGTGTTACAGTGTAACTGTCATGAACAGTAAAAGACATGAACTACAGTCATTGGAAAAACTTGAGATTTGCACAATATCAAAATAAAAAAATGATAGACAACCTATGGATTACTTCATAACTTTGAAATTCAACATGTCTCTTCTAACGAAAACCAAAGCAGACCTAATGCAAAAACCACAGGCAAACATTTCTCTTGACAAAACATATTTTGAGAAAAGCAAATTTTTTTAGAAACAGCTGCCACACGCTAGCAAACGATGATGGAGGACGCTCATTTATGACCTGTGTGCAGCTCGTAAGGATGGTCACATTCATGTACGCCATAATATTAAAATATGGTGGTCAGGGCTGGACTGGGACAAAAA